ATGTGTCTAATATCTTGGAAAAATGAATCAATTTGAAATGATATCAATTGATGAGAGCATTAATCCATTTCAATTGACTTGATCTTTGAAACAGAATGAATTTAATTTAGTCTGTTTGATTTATTTAATTTTGATAATAATATATTAAATAAAATAATTTAATCAATCAATTCAATAAATTTTTATTTTTAAAATTAATAATAAAATAGATCGAATTAATTGATTTTTTTAAAAATTATAAATATAAATTAAAACATATAATTTTTTACTTTTTAAAATAAAAAATAATACTTATGATAAAATTAGAAAGTAAATTTTATAGATGAAAATTATTATATAATTATTGCTCAAAATAGATGATAAAAAACATAAAAATTTTGCCAGCAATTGATCTATGTCAATTCATTTATTAAAATTAAATCTATCGATTTTGATTATTTGTTAAGAAGAATCCATTAATTGGATTTGAATTTTTCGAGATCAAATAAAATGATAATGATTAACTATTTGCTAATCCCTAAATATCAATTTGTTGTCGAATATTTTAATTTGAATTTGAATATCTTTAAATTAATTAATATATTATTAAATTTAATATTTAAAAATTATAAATTAAAAAAAATTAAACAATAATATTTTTTTAGTCATATATATAATAAAATAAAAGAATTTAAGTGTAGTTTAAAAGTTAAAAAAAGGAAAACTAATTTAATTTTGCAATTTCAATCTAATTTCATTAAAACCCAAACCTAAGTCAAATACTTTTTATGTGCTATAAACTATAAAATACCAGTAAAGCCAAATTGGGATATTAATGATTAACAGGAAGCATCCTTTGAATTATTGAGAAATAGCTTTTTCCTCTTAAAGAACACAACAGAAGATAAGCAATAGAAAAGGATTTGCGAAATAAAAAAAGTACAAAAGAAAAGATATATAATCTAATCATCCGCCCATCAAAGCCTAACACGTGAAAGATGAACGAATCCGATACGAAAAAAATGAAAGAAAGAAGAGCACACTATGGACATATGACCAACCCACTGTGTTTTCTCAATAGGATGCTCATAATTTTGAATAGATTTAATTTGATTAATTAATTAATTATTAAATTAATTTTGATTAATTAATAAAAGTAATTTTTAATTTTTTTATTAATTTAATTTAAAAATTGAATTAACTGAAATTTTAATCAATATATAACAAAATTCAAATATAAAACAAAAAATATATGAAATACATTATTTTATTTTATTTGTTAAAATTTTTAACATGATTCTTTGATATTTTAATATTTTGTTAAAAATTTTATTTATAATATAAAATTTTAAAATTTAAAATATAATTTAATTTAAATATATTTATTATTCGATTAATAAAAAAAATTAATTGAATCGATTAAATTTGATTTGATCTGTTAATTTTAAAATTAACTAGATAATGTCCTACGTGTTGCTGTGGTTTAACAACAAAAACAATTAAAAATACTAAGACATATTTATATATATGTTTTATTAATCTATAAAATATTAAGTTTTTTAAAAATAAATATGAAGATCTATCATGAACAAAAAAAAAATTGAGATGAGTTGAGAATTTTGAAGCACAAATTAATAAATTTATGATTAGATTCTTTCAATATCTTTCAAATTTGTAAGTTAATGGATTCTATAAAAGGGAATTATAAATTAATAAGTATATTCACCAATAAGTCTTAAGAGTTTAAATAAAATGATAAAAAATACTTACAATTTCATAATGAGATTCTTTTAATATTTTTCAAATTTGTAAATTAGATATTTTAAGTAATAGATTATGTAAAAAGAAATTATAAATTAATGAATATATTCATTAATAAATCTCAAGAATTTAAATAAAATGATAAAAAAATACTTACAAATTGACGAATGTTCTTTTCAAAATGTAAAATCTGAATGAAAATTAAAAGGTTAAAAATGAGTAATTTTTTTTAAAAGGGTTTTTTATAAAGGTTTTTGGAAGATCAATTATATTAAATAGATTAACAAGAAAATTGTTAGATAAAAAAGAGGAAGAGATTTTATTATTATTGGGTTTAATGAATTAAACTTTTCACTTCTTATTCATGAATAAATTAATTGTGACAATGATGTGAAAAAAATAGATAATTATTGAAATTAATACTTGTTAATTTGAATAATTATAGAGTTTTAATTTATAAGTTGAAATGTCCAACTATATAAAGTTATACAATCAAATAAATAAAATTTTTTTTCTAAATATGAGAGAATATCTTATTTATAAAATTGATACGTGATGTATTTTGAAAAAATTATAAATTTAAATAAATTTATATTATATAAATTTAATTTAATTAATTCGAATTTGAAATTAATATTATCCCACCCAACGGAACATCCTTATTCTCAGTTCGAATGCAAGAAAGCGCCGCAGGCTTTCTTGGCAGCGACAGGACAGTGGATACAGAGAAGAAAAAAAAAAAAGATAACTTTTGCCTCGGTTACTGTTCCAATACTTCGCTTTAAAGCAGTTATGAGCTGGAACTGCTCTAAAATACAGGGCTAGGCTAGCATAGACACTTTAGCCTTGTACAGCAAGCTACAACTTTTCTCTTTTTTGAATATGTCACTCTCTATATAGTTCTTCCTACCCCACACTTCGCGCTTCGTTGCTCTCTGTCTCTTCACATTTTTTTTTGCTGGTTCCTTCCTCGTTGGGGTTTCGGAGAGAAAAAATGGGAGTAATTGGGTTCTGTTTTGATCCAAATGTGGTGGTTTTGTGCGGGAAGAGGAAGTTCAGGAGCTTGTTTTGGAGGGTTAGAGCAGAGATAAGGAGACAAGTGAAGGCTAGGACATCTAAGCAGAAGTTTAGCTGCCACTATGATCCCTTCAGCTATGCTCTCAACTTCGACAATGGCAACTTCGGTTTCTTATGTTGATCATCCCTCAAGTAGCCAACAGCCAGAGGGGCTCAATCAAAGTAGAAGAAATCAACTTATAATGTCAATTTAGGGTCTGTAACCTCTGTAAACGTTCTTTTTTCCATTTTTTCTTTCTCTTGTTTAGAAGCCAAGTACTAAAGCAAGCAGGCAGCTATTGTTCTTTCTCAACTAGCCAAAGCCAAAGAAGATAAACTTCATAAACTTCTTTAATTTGCTATAGAAAGTTCTCTGATCATGTCTCAAGTTGGTTTTCCTCTTGTAGTTTTTCTTTCACCGTAATGGCACCACTGGTGCACTACGAGTTCAGTACTATAAATGCTAAGCACTAAAGCCACTAGCCTTTCTCCTGTTGGTTTGTCACTAATACACTACATACTTCTCTTTTCTGGTACCCGGACCCCCCTAGTAGACTCCAAAAAAAGTGGGGTCGTGAACTGGCTGCGATCATCAGAATTCTGCAGGTTCTCTTAGATTCTGCTGCTGTGAATAGTGGAGCAATTGGATTTCATTTGTTCGTTGTGCTTTTAGATTCATTCCTTTTGTGAAAGCCCAGAAACTGGGATATATTTCTCTTTGATCTTTAATTTTTTATGGAATCTTGCTAGTCATTACTACCGTCTTTCTTTTTCATCTCCGACTCCAAGCACTACTAAAACAGCAATACTGATTTTAATGGAAAAAAAGGGGGAAGAAAATAGTGTTCCACGTTATCCAATCCATTTTAGTCTCTTGGTGCCCAATAGCCATGAACAAATGGGGCTTGGAGCTCTCATCCTTCTCTGTCGCCTGTCGGAAATAGTACTGATTATGTTTTTTTGGAGAACAAAATTTTTTTGAGATAAGCAAAGCGAAAAGGAGAGACGGAAAGTTAGGTCAATTCTTTTTTTTTTTTTGTGGCCACAAAATCAAATCGAACGCTTTTTTATTTTTTGGGTACCAACGAACGCTTCCTTTTATTATTTATAGTATCGTAAAAAAGGCATTGGTGAATTTCTGGATTCTCATGCTTTGACTATTTTAATTTATAAAAGAATAACAAACATTCATTTGACGTCTTCAATTGTTTTAGTGATAATTTGGTATTATTAATGATCAACTTTTGATTGTTTCGTTTTAATTAATTTGGTCATGCAATTACCGAATTAAAAATAATTTTAAAAAATGCATTAGAAGATCAAGGAAAAGATTAATTACAATTCTAGGGGCATTTATTTGATGAACCGCTTAAAGCTTGGTTACATGATTAACAAGTAGTCGTTGTATCCGTACTATTAGTGAGAAAGACCTCGCCATGCATCGAAGGGCCAGCCAACAGTCAGGCCCAATTTCTATGGCTGCAATATTCATGTCTTCCTTGCAATCTTCAAAAAAAAATTTATTTGAAATTTAATTTAATTAATTTATATAATTATTTTTTAAAAAAAATATTTATTAAATTTAAAATTTATAATAATTGCTTACTGATTTTGGAGTAAACCGAAGAAGCCACTTTTTTTTTTCTCTCATCAAATTGATTTTATGAAAATTGGGTAATATAGAAGTTGCTACTCACCACTCTTCATGAAGAATGTCCACACTAAGTATGATTTTCAAATTAATTCATAAGATAATTAGACACCTCTTTCAAGAACTAGAACTGCACAATTATAAGTTGCCATTTTTTTTGTTATATTGAATTTAAATAGATTTATTTGTCAAAAAGAAAATAAGGGTAAATTGTTAATAAGTGGACAAATTGCTTTTCTTCCACAAAGTTTTCTACTGTCATGTGACTATGATTATGATTAAATCCATAATATTTTAAAGTTTAAAAATTTCACTGACGTCATAAAAAATTGGACTAATTTTTTTCAATTGGGCAACATGTTTATAGAATATTTTCAATGTTCAAAAAAATCTGAACCGAAGCCAATCCAACATGTTTCTGGCCCAACTTAGATTGAATAATACTGTAAGTTGGGCCTTTGGAACCCAAAATTCTGGCCCAAAGGATCCATTTTAAGGTGGCGATAGAAAGACAGAGACCGTAGATTGGAAAGAAATAAGAAATGTACGGTGGATGGTGAAGCCAAGTCATGAATCCAAGTGAAAACGCTTCCAACTCTACAAATTTAAAAAGAGGGAAAACAAAACAAAAGCAGGAAAACGCGAGTTTTCAAAGTGGCGCCAAAAACATGAAAAACTGAATTTCCATTTCCCTCTTTTATCTTTTTCTTCTATTAATTGTTTCCCTCTCTCCAAACACAATCCTCAGATATCTTCGATTCTGCTTTCTCTCAAAAAAAGAAACCCACTCTTTCATTTTCTTCGCAGTGTAAGTGTAATTACAGTGAAGGACAAAGAAGATGGCCGGCGGATCCAAGTCAAATCCACCAAAGCCAAGGAAGAGGGTGGACGCTGCTTCAACCACTTCCCCTACCTCCTCTCTTGTCCGCGCCAAAGATGGTAGTGCTTTTGCCAAATGGTAATCTCTCTCTCAATTTATACTTTTACTCTGATTTCCGGTCTGAGTACTTTATTTTTAAACATTCGTAGATTTACTGTTAGTTGAAGCGTTTTGGTCCCTTTAGTTTTGTTTAATTAACGAGCTCATTTTCGTTTCAAATTGTCAAATTTCAGTGATGAATGTAACAAAACTGTACCAGTGGCTCTTATTAGTATGCATAGTTGCAGCCTTGACGCCAAAATTAAAATGAATTTGGGTTAGTCTCATGTTTACTTAATTTAATGGAAGTTAGGTTAGTTTATGAATAATGGTAGTGGGATTTTGCCTTTATTTGTTTTACCTTTTTTTTTCTTGATCTAGAGGCTCAAGTTATCGAGAAGACTGCTGAAGTGAAGAAGAAACCTGCAGAAAGGTAAGTTTTACTTTCACACGCTTTCTTTTGAAGTTTCATGTTCACTTTTAATTTAATTATGTTTCTGATAATTATACAGGAAGAAATCTTCATCAACAGAACCAAATCCGAAAAGACTGAAGAAATTGAAGAAGGGAAAAGATCCTAGTGCCCCCAAACGTCCTCCTACTGCCTTCTTTTTGTTCATGTAATGACCATCTTTCTCTTTTCCTGTTAATTCCATGATTTAGTGTTTTTCAGTTAACTAGTAACTTTTTGTTATTTTTCAGGGATGACTTTAGAAAATCTTACAAGGAAGCAAATCCAGATGCAAAGGGTGTTACAGGGGTACACATTTCCCACTGTTGTGTTTGAGTTTTTTTTTTTTTTTATAAATTTAGTTATTAAACATTTGATTAATGAAATTTAGGTTGCAAAGGAAGGTGGTGAGAAATGGAAGTCTATGTCAGAAGAAGTGAGTTTTAAATATTCAATTGATTTAACTAACTTGTTATTAATTAGAATTAGTTAATTAATGGATTACAATAGTGGGTTTTGATCTCAATTTTATTTACATCAGGAAAAGAAGCCTTATATTGATAAAGCTGCGGAGCTCAAGGCAGAGTATGAGAAGGCTTTGGAGGAGGCTAAGAATGCTGACAATGAAAATGAGGAAGTAAGGCTTCATTCACCATGTTCTTGAAGGTTAACCTTTGATTTATCTTTGTTGAAAATTGTTTGACTTGTTCTTGCTTGTTTAGGAGGGAGCGGGTTCAGGGAAGGAAACATCAACTGCTGAAAAGGAAACAGAAGAAGTATTAGATGATTATTAGTCAGCGCCATAATCCCCAACCCCAAGAGTTTCTTTTTCTTATTTTGTTGGGGTACTGTAAAATTTTGAATCTCCTTTTTGATGTAATGGATTCTAGTTGGTGTCTAGATATGTTGACAATCATCTTGCTTTCTCTCTTTTCTAATCATGTTTGCAGTGTCTTTGACATTTGAAGGGCAGGTTTTTAAAGTAAAATTCATGGCTTAGCAGTGGTGATGATAACAAAAAATGGTCTTTGGAGGTGGTAAATTTACTTGTCTACATTTCTGAAGACAAGTTCTTTCAGAGTATTGATTTTGTCTCAATGTGATGGTTATGCCAGCTGGTAGTAAAAGGAGAACCTTGCTTTTGAAGAGTAAATGTTAAAATGTACATCAATGCTGTATATTGAAACAATGTTTGTTCCATAATCGTTGTTATTAATAAATTGAGCTAGAACACTAGTAAGGAAAAAAAAAAATGAACTACCACTGTAAAACATGAGTTGTCTCTTTCTGGCATTTGAGAATTCTCATTAGGCCGTGAATTTGGGCAAATTGAGTCAGCATTTCACTGGCCCATTTCTTGCTTCTTTCCCCTACAAGGCGGCATGGGTTTGCCGCATAGGCAGAGATTGTGAGCATAAGCAGAAGCGGGGAAGATGTTATAAGGTCGCCCTTGTGGAATCTCTCCACATAGTCTGTTTGCCCTGAAACTTGCATGTCTCAGAGACCTAATACCCAATAAGCTAGTTGGGATTTTTCCAGTGAGCTTGTTGATGGAAAGGTCAAGCCATTGAAGTTTCACCAATTGTCCTAAACTTGTGGGAATGGTGTCAGTTATCTGGTTCCTTGAAATAACCAGCCTTTCAAGTTCAATGAGATTTGAGATTGAACTGGGGATATGGCCTGCAATCTTGTTGCTTCCTATATTCAGAACCTTCAAACTCAAGCCTTCAGTAAATTCTGGTATTGTTCCAGAAATGAGATTATTTGACACATCTATGGCCTCCAAAAAGCTGCTTGTTCTGTTATTTAAAATGCTTGAGAGAGACCCGAATACCTGATTTGAATGGAGATCAATAGAGGAAATCCCATCTGGCACTATGAGTTCGCAAAGATCAAACTTCATTTGGTTATTTGAAAGCTTCAGGTTCTGCAGATTTGTCATATTTGTAAAGAAAGTGGAAATGCTTCCAGTAAGGAAGTTATTGGACAGGTCAATGGAGCTCAGTGAATCAGGTCTTGTAAACTTTGGGAGGGCTCCTCTCAGTTTACAGCCAGCTAGATTTACATCTGAAAGTTGTTTGTCCTTGATCCAGTTTGGAACTGTCCCCAAACTGAGATTGTTGAAGGACAGGTCTATTGACAAAAGTGACGGAATACCCCTGCTAGAAATATCTGGCAAGGGATCTGAGAACCAATTTCTTGATAAATTAAGGGACCAAAGGTTCTGTAATCTTGAAATAGATGGTGGAATATGACCTATAAACTTGTTGTGACTCAGTGAAACACTAGCGAGAGATTTAAGGTTTCCAATCTGGTCTGGGATAATTCCTGTGAGCTGGTTGTGGCTCAATGACAGGTCTGACAGAGTGACCAAGTTGAACATGGAAACGGGTATCTGACCTGATAATTGATTATTGGAGAGGTCAATAAAGGTAATGTTTCGAAACTGTCCTACAAATTCAGGGATAAAACCTGACAATAAATTGAAGCTGAGATCAAAAGACTGCAAACAAAGAAGAGTTTTGAAACTAGAAGGAATTGGACCTGTCAAGGAATTTCTTCCTAAATTCATCAGGACAAGTTTTCTCAAATTCCCTAAGCTTGGAGGAACTACCCCCCTGAAACGGTTTCCAGCCAATGAGAGTGTTTGGAGAAAGGATAAACGACCTAAACCTGAAGGAATGTTCCCTTGAAGGGAATTGTCTTCCAGGACCAATTGCGTGAGACGGGTTAGATTGGAAAAGTTCTCAGGGATTGGACCCGTAATAAGCTTCATCCCACTTATCACCAACACCTCCAAAAATTGCAGGCTTCCCAGAGAAGGAGACAAAGTACCCTTCATATAGAGGCTACTGTCCCTTTCTGGCCTTTGCAGCGCCAATGTATTGACCCTTCCTGCTGAATTACACTGAACACCTTCCCAATCTCCTCCACAGCAGTCTCTTCCTATCCATGAAGAGAGACTATCCGTAGTGTCCTTCACGATTTTGGCTTTGAAACCAAGAAGAGCAGCTCTATCTGCCTCTGAGCAGACTGCTGGTGCTTGTGAGGTAGTTTGAGCTAGAGAAAAGGGAAACACTCCTAGTATGGAGCAAATAAGCAGAACCCTAGAAACCCATATGAGAATCTGCATTTTGGAAGGGGGGTCTTGATCAGTTTAGAGAGATCGCTGGAAAATATAGAGAAATTTCCACTGAAGTTGAATCTGACAAGAGGAACTTTGAATGGGGAAAAAATTATATTCTATCATGAAAAAAAAAAAGTTCAAATAAAGTTTGCAAAGCAGACATGGATTTGTTCTATTCCTTCACGTAGACAGGAAGGTATAATGATGAAAAAGAAAGTAGAAAAAGATTCAGAGTGAAATGTGAATTACAAACTTGGTTGAAGATCTGCTAGACCTTGAATAATGTCCCCCTCTTATTTATAGTACTAACAAAAAAAAAAAAAGGGGAAACCTCTTATGTTTACCATTGGAAAGAGGAAAAAAAAATGTCCTGTATCTGTTTAAAGACATTCACATGGAGAATTGTGACCGTTCGATGCATCACGAGGATCCCAGTTGTAATTTGAACGTTGGAGCGCAGCTGATTCAAAAATTTCACCTATTTGGTAAATCAATTATCCTCATTTCTACCGTTCAAAAAATAAAAAAAAAAAAATAAAAACCCTCATCTCTGGCTTAAGTCCACAACTTCATGCTGTAGCTGCCTTTCATATTTTTCTTTGGGTTTTTCTTTTTTTTTTTTCTTTAAACATTCTGTTATCATTTCTTCAATGTTTTTTTTGAACATAATACAGTTTGAAGTGAGCGGAGGCTTCTCCGTTGCAAGGGCTGATTGTAAACTAAAAAAAAAAATTATATTAAATTTATAGATGGTTCATAAAAAATTATTGACAAAAATTTAAATTTAAAGTTATAAACGAAATATTCTACGTTATCAAAGCGTTTCTTGCATGTTTTGACACCATCAATGCTTAAGGCTCAGTTCTTACTTCCACGTGAGCTCACAATTTTCCGGAAATATTGAAAGTCTGTAAAAAACTATTCAACGTCCCTTTGTTTGCTGTGAATTCAAACCCACAATCATACTATTTTTCTGGCAATTAAACGGTACATCAACTGTTATTCATTTCTCAGTCAAGAAAATATCAATAAATTGTAATCGCTATCTGCTTTTAAATTGAATGGACAAAAGTTGACAAATGTAACTACTAAAAGTATAGATGGAGATGATGAAAAACTTGTGAAAAAGGAATGGTTTAGATTTGATTCTCGGTACTTTGAGCACCATGTAGGAGCCACTACCCTGTAAACTACCCCGAAAGATAGAAGATTTGCCTTGATAATTGATCCTTTTCCTAATCAGCGAAGCTTTCTTTAACTTCCTGCTTGTTAATCAAGGTGGTTCTCAACTTTTTATCTCCAACAGGATACACTTTCTTTTAGCCTAACACCCTACTGATTTTGCTCCTTTCAGGTTGAGTTGCTACTACCTTTCGGTACAGAAAAGCAGCAAATGCAACCTGGGAAACTCAATGTACACTTGTTTAATAATAATAATAATAATAATAATATTGAAATTGCACTTTTTTGAGACAAAATCTTTCCGCCATTCGTATGTGTTAGTCAGAAATGTTGAAATTCTTAGAGAAGTTTGTCAACCAATCATTCTTGAATTTTGACTCTTCTATTTCTTCCAGTCACATCTTCACACCCCACTCGTTTCCCCTATCTTTTCCACAAAATTTTCTACTATTTAAACTGTATACCGCTAATATATTGGGTTGATTTTTTTTTTTATTTTCACTCTATAATTGAAACTCAAGCAGTATACATATATTTCTAAAGAATTGGAATTTACTTCAATATTGAAATTTGTATGCTTGAAAAGTTTGTTTTTATAGAAATAAATGGTGTAAAAATATTTAAAATTACGACCTATTAGAATTATCTCTCTCATTTTTTATACAATTAATCTCATAATTATGAGATATAAAGCTTCGTTTATTGTTATTATTATATAATTTGCATGATTAATTGACTATTGTAATTGAAAATAAGAGAATAAATTATAAGTATTAAAATTTAAAATTTAAACTTATTAAATCTTAATTTTTTAAAAGTGGTAATATAAATTAACTTATTTAAGCTTTAAGTCTTTTCATCATTAAAGAAAAGTATATTTCACTTGATTAAAATTTGCATGTCTAGCCAACAAAATACTAGTTTGAACCTAAAATATAATCTTTAAAAAAGAAAACTGTTTGTATTTCTTTTATCCCCTTTTAATCATTTCTCTTTTGTCGAATCTGTTATTAAGATTATAAAGATAATTCAGTATCGTATGCAATTGCAAACATAGAGTAGAAGCTTTCTAGGGTAGTTTTGGAATTCCCAAAGATGTTCTCTTGTTCTTGATCACTTGTTCTAAAGTGATGACAGTAAATTTTGCTAAGCTTTATGTCAGATTATTTATGGCCTACAATCTTATTTTCTTTCCGATGTTAAAAGCTACGGCCTTTTTTACAAGCACTACGGCCATATTTTAACTTGTTTTACATGGTGAAGCAATCTATTACAATTGGAAGATAGCTATAAGGCTGTGACATATAGTACTCTCTCTACATATGCTTTTGTATTATACTGATCTCAATTAAGCATCCCATTTATACTTGTCATTTTACTACTGGACTTGTTCGATGGGTTTTATTCTCAGTAATGCCAAAAAGTTGAGACTTGAGGGCCAGTCCTTTCCCTTCACATTCATTCAGAATTAATCATTGTTGAAAAAAAATGGTAGATGTCTGTAAACCCTTAATTTTAATCAATTCTCTCTATTTCATCACTTGCTCAACAGGTAAATTTGATAATTCTAAATACGATAAAAATATAAAAAGATTGTTTAAATTTTTAATAAAAATTATATATAAATTTAATAAAAATAAAAAATAATATGTTTTATATTTGATGTGTAAATACAAATTTGATATGATAATTTTTTATATTTTATATATATTTGACATAATACAAATATGATACAAATACATAAATTACGAGATTTGCCTAATAAAATAACATATTGATTATATTTTCTTCACTAATTCACAACTTTCATTTTTTGGTTTACAAAATGGAAGGTAGGATGGTAACCTTAATTTTTTTTTTTTCATTTCTTTTACTTGTATCATTTTTATCCCTAATTACTCTGAATGTTAATCTTTCTTTTATAAGACTAATCAATGTCGAATTGATTTCCTTACTCTTTGCTTGGACCAAACAAATTATCTTCCTAAAGAAATCTGTAACCAAGTACTTATATTTAAACTCAGATTTTTTAAACGTTATTTGTAAAATAATTACATTAATCAACTCAGCTAAATATCATGTTCAATAAGGTTTTAGTTTGGCCTTTAATTATAGGGCCCTACTATATGATTGCAAGGTAATGACAAGTTTCAGATTCTAAAACCTTCCATTAAGGAGACAATGAACTGCTTGGTGGTGGTGGTAGGCTGGGGATCCCATTCTGCCGTTAATGAAAAACAAGAGAAGAAAATCCCAACGTTAATGATTTATTTCCTGATGTTTGTTGTGCTTTGGATGAGTTGGATTTCCAAGCATTAACCATTTATGGCGCGTGGAGACGGTTTGCACACACACACACACACACACACACACACACATATATATATATATATATATATATATATATTATGCATGTTGCTTTAAGCTTAATCAATGGAAGAAAGCAACGCACAGAAAATAAAATTTGAAAATCAACAAATTAATTAATTAGTTGGCATCTTGACTTACTTACGTGCTTTTCATTTCCCTTTATTCCATTTTCAATAATTAATATATATATGAATTTTAATTAGTTATTGATTCTGAGAAATTTGCAATATAAATAAATGTAAACGTGTCGACCATTTTGGTTTTAGATATTAGTCAATATAATTTCTAAAATTTATATGTTTGAATGATATGTTAAGTCAATTTAGTATTACGTTAGATGGTATATATGATGGTTAGATTTTTGAAGGTTAGAAGCTTAAATTTTTTTTATTGGTAAGGAAAATTCAGAGGTAGATAGGCTATTCAATCACTTAAATCAGGATAAGATATATCGTACTTGACAGTTTAAAACAGATGATTATAGATCATACATTCAAGATGATCCTAACAAGTGACCACCGACAAGACTTGAATCTAATACTTTTTTGTCAAAGAAGACAAACTTAAAAAATTTAAACGTATAATATGCTTCTCAAGCGAGTTAAATAGATAATAGTTGGAGATAATAATAAATTATAATTTAAAAAAATATATGTTAATGTGATTTATTAAGGCTTTGAAATATCCCATTAATCAAACTGAAAATGGCTTGATAAGAACAATTCCGAAAAACGACTTGTATTAAATATGCAATGTAGATTATATACAGATAGTTAAAGAAACAAGAAAATTCGGATGGGTCAAGGCTTATGCTATAGCCACTTTAAACAAAAATAAAATCAACAGCTATCAAAGAAAATTATTATTGCAAAACCATGATTTTGCTTCATAGAATTAATTAGTTTGATTAGTGTAGCTCTAAATTCTAACATGTATAGCTAGAATCCAGTGATTATACATTATCAGCACACGCCTTTAACGCAAACATGACATTTCAAACCATCAAAATCCCTTAGTGGAATATGAACTGTACTGGTTTCTTTTTGCAACAAAAATTTGACAGGGCATGATGGGCCATTTTGTTTTTGTTAGTGTTTTTTTCAGTTCCACAACAAAAAGATTGAATGAATTAGGTTTGCGTTGATCGCGCAGGAAAGAGCGACGACCCCACCTGGAATCGACAATGTTGACTGGCATGGGGGTGCTCTCTCTGCTCTGCTTGGGATTTGGATTTTAGAGTCGTTAAGTTGAATTTTTAGTATATATATTTAGTCCCAATCGCATAAAAAAGGTTTTAGATCATTAATTTTTGGTCTGAAATCCCTCATGTCTGATAGTTATTTTGAATCCGACTATTTTAGAATCGAATTAGGTCGGACTCCATAAAGGAAGCAAGTTTTTCTAACGTTTATTTTCTTCATTCACAGTATTTAAGATTGAGACCTTTGCTCAAAGGGAACTGAACTCTTTATTACTTGGACTAACAAGCATTGTTTTAATCTGTTATTTTAAATTGGGTGATTGAGGACCCTAGTTTAGGGGGGTCCAACCATGTTCGATGACCTAAGATCAATCATGATTTGCTGTTGTTGAAAACCATGTGAAGTGTCTGTTTAAAGATTGTCAAGTTGTTTTGAGTTTGTTTTGTCCATCTTCTTTAAAGAGAGTGTGGAGAAAGGTATTGCAAGACCGGTTAGCAATTTCTATATTATAAACTATATTCTATTTGTTTTTAGATTTGAATTCGAGGATTTCCAATTAAAATATCTTGTTTTAATGGTTGAAATATAATAAAATTTTATTATTTGTTATTCCATACTATATTGGATAAAAATTTGTTTGTATTGTGTATGTTATATTTTATAATTTATTTCAGATGATTCATATAATTATTTTTAAAAATGATATTCAGTAATTATAAAATTCAAAATTTAATATTTGTAATTCTTTTTTCTAATCTTTGAGCGCTATCTCATTTTTATTTTGTGTTTTAAGACAAAAACTTGTGTTGAACGATCATTTTATACTAAACCCCTAACTGGGTTAACAATCTTGATCAAGTTGGAAGTTTATGTTGGTTGGATTAACTTGGTTAATTGAAGCATTTATGTTTTTATAAATGTTATCCTTTTTCATATATTATGTTAGATCTAACCAGGGGCGGGTGGTAAGTATATGGCCCCCAAGATTTTTGAAAATTTCCCTTTTATTCATATATAGATATGTATATTTACATTAAATAAATTTAAATTGGAGCCTTTTTTTAAATTTAGACTCTTAAATTAAAAAGATAAAATTAAATTGATATCTATCTATTTATTTTAATTACTAATCATTATTGATGAACACTTAAAATCGATTGATTTGTTACAAATATTAAGTCATAATTCATGTAAATTTTTAAAAAATTAATTTAATTTTTTAAATTCTAACTTATACTGAGTAAGATAAATTAAATTTGAAATTTTAATCGAAATATTTTGAGTGTGACATGCATAATCATGTGAAATATTAAAATTTATCTTCTTTATTATAATTGTGCCTTACTTTTATAGAAATTAAAGAATAAAAAATATATTATCTCATTAAAAGATGGATCAAATTTATTTGAATTCTTTTCAATATATGCAATAACTAATAAATTAAGCAAACATTTTCAACTATAAAAATCTTTACAATAAGATTATGAAATAAGATGGAAGTTGAGTTTTTTATGAATAATTTAGTTATCAACGTAGAAAAAAATATTTAGTTCAGATTCAATTGTTGAATAATTTATTTTTTAAGAAAGAACATTGGTCATAATTTTAAATAAAATTATTTATTTGATATATTTTTCATTTTAAATTAATAAAATTTTAGATTTTATAAGTTTGTTATTTTTTTAGTATATTATTACATATATATTTTATGTTAATAAAATATATAATAGCATAACTAAAATGAAAAAATATATATAATTTCTAATTTTTAATTGGCTTCTTTAAAATCAAATATCATAATTAAATTAAATTTAATCGATTCATATAATTATTTTTTTAAAAAATTTATTTATAAATTATTTTTTTTAGTTTTAAAAGAAAATTATGTTACATACTTGCAAACGAGGTGCGGCTTGAGGAATACTTGTCAGACTCTAGGGTCTGATCGCCTTTGCGTTGCTGATGCTGCAAAACCTGATTGACCGCAAATCATCGTAATTAGTGCTACTATTGGTGGTTGGCACTTGGCACAATCAATTATTGGGTGCTAACAGTACTCACTGTCTTATCCAAGTAATTGTCATACACTGAATTTTTGGATTAATCGAAATCTGTGGACAGAGTTCTTCAATTTTGAAAGTGAAACCATTGACTATTTTATTTGTAGCTGCTCGCTCATGTCCAATTACTATTTATGATCTGTCCTTTTTGAAATTACTAAATTGTGTATAAATCAGTTGCCAAATCAAATTACAATTTGATTTACCTAAACCGTGTTGGACAGACCTAATCTTAAACATCTTTTCAACTGTACAATCAATGAAGATCTCAGTATCAGATTGGTCAAGGACAAAAGATGTTAGCAAAGTCATAAAGAGAGATAATTTTCTTTATTATCTTCTTTCTCCTTTTCTTTGATTATGTTTTAATGTTTAATTTCTGACTTTCTCTCTCAAATTAGAATTATACTGTTAATGAAATTCACGTGTAACTAGTGATGAATTTAAATATAATTTATAGTAAAAATTAAAATGTTAAAGAAAGATAAATTAAAAATTAAACATGGATTTTTTATGAAAGAAACTACAATTTGAGGATATAAAAAAATATATGTATTGAAATTTAAATTTTAAATTTATTAGATGATTATATAAATTAATTGAATTAAATTTTAAATTTGAATTAAAAATAAATGTTTGATTTAATAAAGAAAAGCTTTAATTTTCTTTAAAAAAAATCAAAGAAATTAACATTTTTTTGGCCATTAAAAAAACAATTGTGTGCATGAAAACTCTTAAATAAGTCCTTGCCTTGTTTAGTTGAACATATCTGATAGTCACATTTCCTATAAGAGAGACTAACCATTAATTTGTCATCATTACTAAAGTGCCATGAACTTGGTGTTGTTGAGCATTATGGAGGTGCCGTATATGCTTCTTATCTCAGCAATATAATGAGTAATGACCATACTAGCTAGTATGACCTTATGAGTGATAAGAGATGAGAACAAGGGTTGTCGTCATCAATCGTCAATTGGAGGGCTGGCCGGTCTCACCATAACTGATAGCAATGATTGATTGGTTATTTAGACTGATGTACTCCATCTTTTTCCTTTGTATGAGAAATTGTGGTAGGCCTGCAAGTGCCCTGAACTTTGTCAGATGCCAGATGGAAAATCAATCAGTTTGCTACCTAACTAATACTACTCTCCCTCTCTGTTTCAAAAGGTTCGCTACCTAACTAATACTACTCTCCCTCTCTGTTTCAAAAGGGAAGGGGTCAGGCAGCTGGCCTGGATGGAAAACAGGACATCAGGAGCTTAGCTCCCTTGTGGCAGGGGGCTCTTCCGATTAGCCAAATTGGCCCGTTCACCTACTCCCTCGTATCGACTTTTTCTTCATCTTTTAATTACATTTGAATTTCACTGTACTTGTTAATGCTCACTTGCGAAGTCCCTGTGAAAGAGTGACATCACATCACATCACATGGACCTTAGCAGAGAGAGGTAAGCAAGAAGTTTTAGGGTGTTGGGCCCGAAAATCAACCGCGTGGTTTAGTCGTTTCAAGAGCCTGATCCAATTTATGGGAAACCACTTTTAAGTGGGCTCATCATGGGGCTGATATAGCTCAGACTGTAATTAGAGTGTTGAGTTTATGAGGTGATCGAACCACATCGGTGTCATTTTATGTCAACTGGTGAAATTAATGGGCTGGACGGATAGCTACTCAGCTTTCACTTATCAGCATTCAGAAAGCATGCATCAATTTCTACGAATATTGCCATATCATACTTAGAACAAGAAGACTTTTGGTATCTTGACGTATATATATATTGATATATATATATATATTTATATATTTATATATTTTACATAGGTGATAAAAGAAAGGGTTATAAATATTGAGATTTGTATTCTAAATTTGTTGAATCTTATTTTTTAAAAATAACTAGAAATGAATTATTGATTTGTTATCTTCACATTTTCACCTTACATCTTGAAAAGCTAATCACGCTTAAAAACCTTTGGGTTTTTTTTTTTATGCATTTTGGGTTTAAAAACAGATATTTCACCTACTGTTGATTTATTCTAAGCCTTACTACAAATTCTTCATAACTTTATTGTTTTAATTCTAAACTCTAAAAGGGATTTAAAGTAGTTTCACTATGTTAATACAAAGGTTCAAGAACAATCAGGAGAATCACAAAATCTGTGGCAAAATACCACACAAATTCTGCAAGTGGAGCTTGCAGCAGTAGTCACACTGTCACGGGAAATCTATGATGTGGAGCTGAGATTAGCCAAAATATTGTTCCTGTAAATTGCACTTGGCATTGCAGACTCTGTAGTCCCAATCCTTCACAGGTACAAATATGTAGTAAAACGTTGCAGTATTGCAGAAACTTTGTTCATGTTAAATCATTTTCACTTGAGAAGAAAGAAAAAAATTAAATATTAGCACTTTAACAGATTCATCACAGATACACGTAACAATCACATGTCAAAGGTGTATAAAATAAATATCACATAACAAAAGTAAATTTTAATTTCATATTTCGCATCCAACTTAAAATTAATTGATTATAGATAAAGAGGTCCAAAATTTAATCGATAAGAGACAACACCTTTTAACAAAGAGGTGATAAACGCCTAAAACATAACGATTTTGATATAGCACTTGAACCTTATATGTTTACTATCATTTAAAGGAAGATAGAATTCCAGCAAGAGATCCCCAAATTAATACACCAAGAAGAAATCAATATCTCTTAACAAATTCAATAAGGTTACTGCATCATTAAGTTCCTCCGAAGCAAAAAAGAACAAATACACATGCCTTGCAACTTTCTACAGATGCAGGGTTCAGTGCATTTTATTTTATTTTTTGAAGCCACAACTAGATCATAGCAGAATATGCATAGAACAAGAGGAAATAAGGTATGTTACTTAACAAGGCCTAGATTGAGGACCCCCCATGAAGTTTGTGGCCAAGACTTTTCTTTAGCCTTCATCAACAAAACTCTTGCCCAAGCAATCCATCCTTCCCACGACATCCTCTTGTCCCATGGACTGCTCCACTCCAACATCAGGGTCAGCCCTTTTTCAGCCTCTTTTTCTGCCTCCTCAAACCTTCCTTTTGTTAGATAAACTTGAGCCAAAACCACATATGGCTCTCCAACAAATGGATTCTTCTCGATGCTACCTAATAGCAACTTCTCAGCTCGCTCGTGTCCTTCCTTGGAATCATCACAAACAGCTTCCCAATACAAGTCCCTTGCCTCTATCTGCTCCTTAGCACCCAAAACCTTAGTGCAGTTCTCAAAAACTGGTGGCATCACAAGCTCAATATCCTCATCTCTCTCAATTTCAACCCCAACACCACCTGACCTTTTCCTTTGTTCCACAAAAATCTCTTCCTCTCTCACTATCAAACTATATATTGCTCCCATCCTCGATATTGAACTCAGCCACAGCCCTGGTTTGCCATTGCCAGGCCATAAAGCAACAAAATTATTTCCGGTAAATTCAAGCCGACCATCAAAGTTTCCAAATAAAGCATCCTGGAATCCAAAAAGCTGATCACTAAAATCTGCCATAGTCATCAGAAGGAAAATTGCTGCTATCCTTCTAGACACCAACACATCTTCACCAGTCTTTATGTGCTTCACTACAATCCCATTATCAGGCAAAAGTCCCCGTAGTTTCTTCCTCCAAACCTCGTCTTCATTGAACAAACCCTTTTCTTTCGCGTTCTTAAATGAAATTTCAGAAAGCTTAAGGTGTTCAACAAGTTCAGAATCAGAATACTTAAACAATAGATCATCATGAATTAAAGGTTGCCTGGGAACGATGCAGAACAAATGAATCAAACGCTCTGCAGCCTCACCAACATGGCCTATAACTACTTCACGACCAGTGGAAGGATCGAAGATGGCAAGGTTGACATAAGAGTTGGAATAAGCAGAGTGAAACAGACCGCATAGGCAGACAGGGTCTTGAGCTTTCCATATCTTAAGAATGCGATAGATATCTACCAAATGCTCTAAAAAGCTACCGTGCTTGTGCCAGCACTCTCCAGCTCCAACAGAACGCAAAGTAGCTACCAAAGAAGGCAAATTCTTGTCGACAGATTCAAGCTCGCCGCGAAGGAAGGGACGTGAACATGCTAACAGGCTTTGCAGGTACTGAGTGGTCGGATGAGATGGTGTTGGAACGAGTGATGAATTAGATGGCATGGTGACTTTGGTTCTGTTTCAGATATATAGTATGGTCTATGTCTTTGGCGCTGGTTCTTGCGTTGGAAAAACTCAGGAAGAAAGAATTGAGATGGCGAGGAGAGGAGTAGTGGTGAAAACTGAAAGGGTGGGAGGAGTGGCGTGATAGAGTTTGATTCTTTTGTTTCCAGTAGCAGACGGCAGAGAAAACGCTGGATGGCTATTGTAGTATTTTTTTTTTTCCTTGAGTTTTATTTTTTATCTATTTGACGTGGGATTTTCTCTTTGATCTTGTCAAATTGAAACTGATTCCCCGATACAATAACAACTTGACAAAAGATATGGTTTTAAATAACTGCGTGATGGTAAAACATTAAAATTTTAATTTTAACAATTAAATTTTAAAATTTGATAGACTATATCTTAAGCTATTCATATGGTGCTCCCTCCTTAAAGACTTTTTTTTTTTTTTTTTTCATTTTCTTTATTTCTACCTCTTTCCCCCCGTCTATCTCTCACCTACATCACCTTTCAGTTTTTTTTTTTTTTTTTTCTCTTGACAAAGCCATCCATTTAATTAATCTTTAAAATTCACTTATTTTTCATTTTTTTATCTCATCATTCTTCTTTTTTCACTTTCTTTCTTTTCATTATCACATCAATACAAAACGAAACATTATTTACTTACCCCACATGTCACCTTCCATCCTATTTTCCCTTCCTTTTCCTTCTTTTGGTTTGTCTTTTTTAGTTAATATTTTTTATATAAAATCGATGCATTAAATATTTTGTATAACCTTTTTTATTTTTTATTTTTAAGAGTGAACAATGCCGTTAGAGAGGAAACTTTGATATCTAACTCGTTCCTTCTCTTTTGTTGATGGGTTGATAAAAACTTTTTAATTTTTATAAATCCATACCTAACTCATCACTTCTCATTAACCTCATTTGTTCTTCATTTTTTTTTTTGTCGTTCTTACCCTCATTTTTCGTCTCTAAAAAACTCACTCTATTTCTGTCATTATGGCGTTGTTGACTACTCCTTCCTCTTTTCCTTCTCTTTTTTCTTATCTCATTGACATTTTCATTAAACCAACTTATTTATTTTAAATTCTTTTTTTGAGAATTTTTAATATTCCAAAATTAGTGAATTATTATTTTTACTACTTGATTTAAATTTAGAAATGTCGGTGATAAAATCGGGCGATCCTGAGTGTTTCTTCTTCTGCCTACGTTACAGAATGTATCCCAAAGGCCACTGTTCCAATAGAGTAACAGAACCGTTCCAATATAGCAAAGGATAAAGGGTATTAGAAATTCACAGGTAAGGATGGAACCACTAAGTTTAAAAAGTCACTCATCGGCATGAAGAAGACCTTAGTTTTTTACAAGGGTCGTGCTCATAAGAGCCAGCGTACCAACTGGCTCATGCATGAATATTACCCCACTACCAAGGATCTTAATGACACCGCCCCTTGGCCACATTTTCTTTTTATTTTTTAGCTGTTTTCAGTTTAAGTTCATGCAAATACCATCATTATCATCACTGAATTAAAATTTTGCTATTATTAGTTTTATGGGTTTGATTAAATAACCAAGAACAAAAAGTTCAAAGAAAAACAGGATTGATTATATCGCTTGAACCCTCTTTGATGTAGAGCATTTTAATTTATCGTTGCATTAATTATTTATCTATAACTTTAAAAGCTTATAATTTATCTATATTTTGTCATTGTTTCATTAATTATTATTTTATCTTAACTACGTCATGATTTTTGACAAATGACTTGCTTTAACATAAAAATATCCATTCATAGGAGGCAATTCGAAATTGTATGAGCCCAATTATGGCGAAATTGACTGCAAAGTCTTTTCACTGATGAACTCACATTTTTTTGCTTTATTGCATTATTGAAGGTAGTTTAAGCTGTGAACTTATTGAATGAAATGACTTGAAGGTTGCTTTTGAGACTAATTTTTTGTGTTTAATTTGCACTATATTAAGGTCACTTAGAACTTTAATTAAATCAAAACAACTAATTTTAGAATGCTTGATGTAGATGTCAAATTTTATTGAATGATTAAATTCAAAATATCATATAATATTTATTTTTATATTCCCCTGATATATTTAAGTCGATGATGATTCAGACCTTCTTAGTTAGATATATGAATATGTTGTACACTTTTGCAAAAAATATAGATAATTCACTTACATTGCGTTCTAAACGGTTTTGAGACCGTCAGATGTAAAAAATTTTAAAATCGAGAGAAATAAAAGGGAAGTTACCACTAATTTTTTTTAGGATGTGATTGGCTACCCAAAAGTTTATCTTTTTAACAAAACTATAAAAACAAGTTTAAAGTTTATCAAAAAGATAAATTTCAATTTACGAAAAATCAAGTTAGGCTCGGGAGTCGTTTACATGTGAGGAAAGATTAGTACCCCCACAACGCCCATAAATTGGTACCATTTAATTATGCGCTATTTTCGGCATTGGATAAAAATGGTTTTGACTTGAAATTTAATAGTAATTCACTTCATTTGAAAAAATAAAATTTTGCTAAAGCTCTTTATTTAGGAATATCGATAAAATCTTGAAGTTAAAGAATTATTTTAAAATTCTTCAATATCTAGGTAGAATTTAAAATAACTCTTTTCGCTTAAGATTTAATACGATAATCCTTAAAATGAAATAACAATCTTTATAGAAGATAAATGTTAGTGACTCTCCAACATCTAGGTAGAGTACCAAGATTATTTCTTTCGGAATGTTATTTTATTTTATTTTATAATATCACATTTTTTTTAAAACGTATTATTCTTTTTTTTATTGTAAAATGTTTTATCACCGAGTAGTAAATAAAAATCAAAGACAAAATAATGCAAATAATTACTAATGCTAATGTATGTATGCCAATGAGTGTTATGTAAAATGAAATACAATTTTAAAGTTGGATTTTTAAGTATAATGAGACCACCCCGACTCTCTAACATCTAGGCAGAACTTAGGTGCGACTGTTTATATTTATGATCACAATTTACTGTTATACTTTTTATTTATTAATCTTATTATTAATGTGAATTAAGAACTCGTGTGAAAAACTTAATGAAATGAAATTTTCTAAATACCCCATCATTTAGGCAGCATTCGGAAACAAACCATTTCATGTGAGGTTTTTACACGTATTCTTAAAGTTTTGAAACAGATTTAGGGTAAGGGTTTAGGATTTAAGTTTAGGGTTTTCAAAATTTTGAAGATTCGGATTTTAAGGTTTTGGTTTGAGTTTTAAGGGTTTTAAGGTTTGATTTTAAGGTTTAAAGGGTCTTAAGGCTTGAATTTTAGGGTATGAAAGGTTTTAAGTTTAATAAAAACGTGAAAATCTCTAAAAATTCTCAACATCTAAGCAGACTTTCGGAGCAAATTTTTTTTAAATCTTTTTTTTATGAAAACTTATTATCAAAATTATTAACTTGTTTAGTATTTTTATAATAATAATTCTTCAACATCTAGGTGAAATTATTATTCTTGAAATATGATTTAATTTCCTCCAACATTTAGGCAGAAAAAATAAAAAATTATTCTATTATTATTTTATTTAAGCATTAAAAATTTTTAATTATTATCTTACTTGTTTTCATTTTTATTATTATTAAAAAAAATTATCCTAACAAAATTAAGAACTTATCATGCATAAATATAAAAAATATACTTAAAATAACAAAAATAATAATATATAAAAAATAAAAAATTTTAAAAAAATTTTTTTACCTGAATCGGGCCCATCAACGGTGATTCAGTTGGACTGAAAAGGGATCAGTTCGACGTGAGGTTCAGTTGAGCCTGCTGATGAGCGGTTTGGGTGGCTAAGCGGTTTAGATCGGTTCATTGACAGTTTGTCCAAATCGGCTGGAGGGTGGCTGATGCGGGTTGGTGGGTCGGTTTACGCGAATCTCGGATCGGGTTCGATCCATGCGTGGATTATCTTATGCTTGAAACGATGTCGTTTTGGTCCTATGCTCGAAACGACGTCGTTTTGCTTCTTTGTATTTTTTTTTTATAAAAGTCAGTCTTTTTTTTTTCAGTTCATTTTTTTTGTTTTTGAGAAAAAAAGAGAGAGAGCTTTGGGAAAAAGTCCAGGGCCCTCGTCATCCGATCGTCGGACTGTCGCACTGACCGTCGCATGGGCCACCGTCGGTGGTGGTCTAAAATTTTGAAATCTTTCTGGAAGCTCTTTTTGACGCGATCTTTCCAAATTCGATCTCTTATTCAACGAAAACGACCCCGATCGATGTAGATCGGGGTTCAAAGTTTTTTGTTTTTTTTTTTTTTAAAACTCAAACTAATGATCTTTCTTTTTTGTTGCAGGTATCTCCTTGGTGCTGGGTTCATCGTCGATTCGATGAGGACTGTGGCTTTTGTTTTATGTGATTTTTTTATGTGTTGATTTTCGTAGATCTGTTTATTTTTCTGTTTGGGTATTTAGGGGGTTGTTTGGGGTTTTTTTGTCTAAAAGGTTTTTAGTAGAGGTGCATGTTTCTGGTGTTCTGGTGAGAGAATGTCTGAGTGTTTTCAGAGGAAGGAGATCGAGTGTTTTAAAAAGTTGGAAATGGTGATAGCATGTGCTGATGGAGCCATAGGGTCTTCGTGAAAGGAATGGACGAGGGGGTGGTATGATGGTTAGGGTAGTGGCATGATGGCTAGGCCGGCTTGACAGGGCGTAGGTGGCCAGTGGTGTCGTGTACGGCACCCACTGGCACCAACCCTTTCCATTTTGTTTCTTCTTCTGTTTAGACTTTTTTGTTTTTTTTTTAATTTTTTTTTAATTTTTTAATTATAATTAAACCAATATTATTATTTTAAAAAAATTATTATTAAAAAATGTAGACTCGGATAAAATTCAATGTCTACAGCTGCCCCTCTTTGCATATTACTGAAAATCAATAATAGGCCAAAGATAAAGACAATGATTTTGTCTGAAGCTAACTAAATAAAAGCGATTGGGATTAAATCGTAAGTCAGGAACATAGAAATGATCGAGATTAAATCATGAGTCATAGATTAACGATAATTAGGATTGAATCGCAAGTCAAAGAAATAAAAATGACTAGGATTAAATCACAAGTCAGAGAAATAAAAATGACTGGGATTAAATCGTAAGTCAGAAAGTAAAAGTGATCAGGATTAACTCGCAAGTCAAAAAGTAAAGAATCGATCAAGACAACACCGCGAGTTGAGAAGTAAAGAATCAACTGAGACAATACCGTAAATTGAAAAATAAAAAATCAATCGGG